CGCCTAAATTCACTACGTTCAATTACCCACCATAGACTCCGGTCAGTCAAAATGACTATTTTGAACTGTAGGCAGAGTCAGACACCGATAGGTGGCGGGTTTTTCCGAGCAAACAGAAAAAAGGGAATGATGAAAGTCTTTTCCCAGTCCGGGATGAAAACAAACTCAAAAACCTAAGCTGAAGAAGAAGAAGAAGAAGAAGAAGAAGAAGGGTGGTGTCTTACCTTGCCTGTGCTGTTCCCGAAGCAAGAAGCCAATGCTGCTGTGGTGACAGGGTTCGGTGCACCCGAGAAAGCTAGACCCAAGCCGAATTCGGGGGTGATAAGCTTGAAGTAGGACCGAAACAGTTCGCATGAGGGCGTAGGTCGAAAGAAGCGAAACCTGGGAGCTTCCAGGAAGTGCTAGTGGAACAGACAATCTGCCCGCAAGAATGCCGCATGGGCCCCTGCGATCGTTCGGGCTGGGTCAGTAACCAAAGCCTGTCCTGCTACGACGGGGCCTAACCTGAAGAGACCCTGCTCAATAGATTGGGTGTCTCTTAGGTAGTAGTTGATGAAGACAATCTGCGTTCTCCAGAAGCCTGCCCTAAGGATGTGTTTGAGGGGGGCGCCTGACGCCAGCGCTAGTGAGTTAGCAATCGCACGAACCTCATGCGTTCGCACTTGGTGTCTCTGCAAGGACTGTGTAGAGGAGGATCGTGTGTTATAGACCTCCAGGACAGTTGCAGTAATCCACCTGGAGATGGAAGTCGGGGAAGCCGGCTTATCCTGTTTGCCAGGGCCATAACACAAAAACATGTGCTCGGACCGGGCAGAGAAGCAATTCCTCCTGATCCTCTGGACCGACAATATTTGACAGCCGGGGGATGACGATCAGATGGGGATCGTGTTCTGGGATTTGGTTCTTGGCGAGAAACCTGATTCGTGTCTTTAGTGCAACTTGATCGTCCATTAAGGCGGCACAACCGTCCGCGAAGGACAGTGCGCCTAGTTCTGACCGGCGCCTACCTGAGGCGAGGGCCATTAGGAAGACTGTTTCCACGTCAAAAACTTGAGTTGTGCTGAAACGAGGGGCACAAAGGGAGGTCTGCTTAGGGCTGATAAAACAACCGACAGGTCCCAATTGGGCGGTTCCCATGAACGAGCCCTGGGCCTCTGATTATGGAAAGCAGTAAACAGTCTCCTAATAATGGGACAATCGGCTAGGCTTGTCGCAGAGGTAAGCGTCAAACATGCTTACCCCGCTGCCGGGGTTGATGACTACCCGAGGAGGAGAAGGAGCCACCACCTGGTCCTCTCGCGGATGGGTTGAGCGCTTGCCTCCTGGCTGACTTTGTTTTGCGGAGCTAGTCCTAGGGCGTTGTGCTTTCTGTGCTTGGGGCGCCCTCAGCTTCCCCTTGGCAGCGGCCAACTGGCTAGCGGATTCGACTTGAACCATTTGGTTTGTTACACCCCGAAGCTCCCACTGCCACTGCTCCCGCTATTTCCCCATCAAAGGGTGGAGGATCTCCAGTCTGCGTAACTGAGGCGGTGGCGTACCCCCTGACTCAGTTCGCCTGTGAAAACACACGCGTCTAGAACCGCGTCCCGCTGCACAGTACCGGTAGTAGCCCCGGCCAAGAGAGCCATATGACACTGGAGGATCTCGCACATAGCCGTGCGGTGGCCTACCATTAGCTGTGTCGCCTGGTCTAGGAGGCGGGTGCGTTCTGCATCTGAGGTCTCAGAGTCCTGGGTGCGCACAAGAATGCACTCCAGTGTGGCGCCCACGAATTCAAGGAAATTGATGGGTCGTAACTCCGCTCTCAGGGCATGTTGGATAGTCTCAGAATGGGTCGATAAGAATGACCATGGACGCGGCCGTCCCCCTTCACCCGGTTAGCAAAACAGAAGTTTGTAGTACTGGGGTCCGGGGAAGGAGCCTCGGGGTCCGGTCGGGGTCTTCTGGTTTCGTCCCACGAATTGGGGTCCGAATCCGAGATTGCGTCCACGGCAGGAAACGGGGGGGTTCCCCGGAAGAGACGGGTTTAGAATGCGAACGGTGCTTTTTGTGTTTCTTTCTACTTGCCTGCTGAGAGGCTGCAGTGGAGACAGCTCGCTCCGCCTGCAGGTGATCTACTCTGCTTGCCAAGGACGCCCTGACAGTCCTTCGACCAATGCCCTCATTTCAGCGGCAAAACCGGCGCCATGCAAGGATGGGTCCACAACGGGCCCCAGCGCGAGCCCCAGCGCGAGCCCCAGCGCGAGCCCCAGCGCGGGCCCCATAGAAGGAAAGACCTCCAGGGGCACAGCCTCGCTGTTGTCGGTAAAGTTGGGTAACCCACTGCCTGAAAAAACAGACTGTGTAGATGCCCTCCGATCAGCGGGGAGAAACCAAAATATATCGGTACACCCACTATCAGGCCTTTTGCTTGGTATTCCATTAGTACAAATCCGCCTCGTAAACTGAAGAGACAAAACCGGCGATGAGCCTCTGGCGTTGCCAGTGCATCTGTCCATTTCTAAATATATTAAAAATAAAAGACATGCATGAGGGAAAAAACAAATTACAGTTGTAAAAGGTGCCGCCATGAAATCAACATGTGATTACGTAGTGGCGCCGGGTTTTAATTTCTTTGTTGTAGAAAGCATAACACACAAAGGGGAAAACGACACAAGGGTAAACTACCAGCTAGAATGTCGGATGCCGCTAGAAACCTGGAGAGGAAAAAGCAACAAGGCCGGGCAGAGCCGCTCGGAATCATTCCCGTTAATATAGTTAATATACCTGTTTTCCTATATTTTACATTCAACTTGTCAAAAATCAGTGAAAATAAATTCCATACAAAACACCCACAAAGTCTTAATTCCAGCAAAAATATGGTATTTTACAGTATTTGAACCACATGTCCAATGGCAATGTTGGATCATTGAAATATAACCTATATTAACCAATGGACAAAAACTTCTGTCATTTACACCAGCACATGCACCATGCACTAATAATACAAAACATATTGACTCATATTATGCTATAATTTTTTACTTTTTGAAATGTTTATTTTTATATCTTCAGCAAAAACAGAGATGTCCTGTACTTGAGGATCAACTGGTGGATTTGGTTGTTGTTGCCATGGAGAGAACAGAAACAGACATCACAGTAGAAGAAGGGTCATCCAGCCATGTACTATGGCAACATTTGTCTAGTCAGCTCATCTATTTTGTTTTATTCCAATTTGCTAGTTTCCCTCACATGGTTCTATCTTTACATCAAAAAGTAAGTTTGTTGTCTCTGATTTACATACTGTACCATAAGAGTGTCATAGTCAACTTTTCAGCACTTTTTACAAAATAAAAATAACAATTTTCAACAAGACATGTAGCCAAGATGAAATATTTACAATTTGGTATAAAATTAACAAACAAAATTAGAAAAATGTATAAAAATTTGCAAAATGCATCCAAATTTTGGTAAAATGAAAAATTGTCATTTATAGGGTTGGTACATTAGAAACTTTTTCTTCCGAGAAAATTTAAAAAAAAATATTACCGTGAAACATTACTACCAAACAATAAAGCTACCTTGATTTTTTTTTAAATTATTATTTTTGACAAAATTAACAAAGAAATTTATTAAGTGCTTTTTTAATAGAAATGTAAATAAACCAAAAAAATTGCATGCAGTGTATGTGAATCATTTCATACCCCTCTTATTTGTGTACATGTATATGCTTCTAATTAGAAAACTAGATTCAAATGTGAAAATTGTTGCATTAAAATTTTGGTGTGGCAAGACATGGCAGGTTGCTGTCATGCGCACATTATACCATGAATACATTCTCATATTTTACTCTTTTTATTTCTGTATTCATTGCTTTATTCAGTTACGCTCCAGAGACTTGACAAAAGGACGTGATCATCTGATGTGGGTATTATTACAGTTCATATCTGGCAGTATACAGAAGAATCCACTCAGTGATTTCCTGCCGGTTATGAAATTATTTGATTTATTGTATCCAGAACGCGATGTAAGTCGTAAAACTTGATATATCCCAGTGATTAAGCCATGCATGTTTGAATTTGTTGTCAACAAAAAAGTGTATTTCATATTTATGTGTTGTATGGGTGTAATGAAACATCTCGTGAGTATTTAGACTCAATTCCAGGCCTAGCAGTTGAGCAATAAACACCTTGGCTCCTCTCCAATGCGTTATTCTCCTCCTGGATTTGGTGACCAATACTCACTTAGTTCACTCTACCTTGAGAAGTCAGTTTACATATGGTGGCAGCAATGGGACTCCATAACAAATGTCAATTTAATTTGATGTTGAATGGTAGTATCTAAAATTATACCCTTACTGGTTTTTACTACTGTAGAATGGATTTTACTTATTTTACTGTATTATTATTATTAATGTATACCATGTAGAGTATTCAGATAGCCAGTCTGTTATTGTAAAACAACAGAATAAAATAATTTCTAGTTTTCACTGTATGTTTATTTTTTTGGCAGAGTTTACCAGTAGCTGACATTTCTAAACCACAGTCCACACATTCATTTGCTATGACATGTATTTGGATTCATCTCAATAAGAAAGCACAGAACGAATTCGCCAAGCTACAAAGACCTGTTCCTACAGCTCTCAAGGCACAGCTAGAGTAAGTGTCTGTCTTTGTGTTTGTCTGTTAGTTCTGTCAGTCTTTTTCATCCCTCCAACCAATCATTACAGAGCGGAGCTGTTTATATAGGACTTAACATTCGTCGAAAACTACCAGCTCAATTGCTTTCATACTTGGTATAGAGGTATTGTTGGTGACCCTTTGTGAGATTTGTTCATTTCGAGACATTATCTTAAAGTGCCTGTGAAATGGCTGCTATTTTCACGCCTAAAATTATCCATTGATACATAAATATTATTAATTTATATGTTTCTAAGCATGAATTATTTCTTTAAGTGAAAAAATGTGTTTTAAACTCAATCTACGGCAACTTTATTTTTGTGTATTTTAAAACGAGGCTCCTCATTAGTTCTTATTTGCATACAGAAATTCCCCGTGTGACGTCAGAAGGGGAAGTCGCATGGCAGCTTGCATTGCCGATACGTGTAAATAAGACAAATTTCTTGTGCAGTTTTCTCC